TGGATGATAAGCTCGAAGAAGCTAACTCCTGTGGATGTGCACAATTTCTCATAATAGGATCGACAACATAATCGAAGTGGATGACAAACCAACAAACAAAGTAGCCTCTACTCATTCGATGCATTGTGTAAATCCGTTTATAGAATAAGCTCATATCAATGTTTATAAGTATTGATACCATATGTCAACCAACCCAACCCAATTATCATGTGATGTGTGTCAATAATAAAAGACCACTCGCAATAGAACGAATCCTTTTTGGTAATTGTTGATGCAAAAATCTGTACGGTCTGGAGTGGGGGTGTTTCCTACAAGACAAGAGAGAAGTGACATACTTGACGATTAAATATCCGAGAAAAGATTAAATATGAGATTTATGGCATACCTTTCTAGGTTGACCGATGACTATTTTTATAATAGTTTTACTGGTGGTAGTGTTTTGTCACGAAACAAATTCATTTTCCTTGTCCATCACGAATTGGAAGAGTCATGGGAGGGTGGTAGTAGTTATCTTTGAGTTTATCCATACCCTTTGGGTTTCTATTTTGCTTAAAATTCCTATCCAATCAAATATTCCTTATCAATTGCCCCCCGTTCACGAGTTTGCTTGTCAAACTTAGGAAACATTAAATCATTTTCGCTCTCCTTTTTCAGATTGAACGATGTTTTGAATATCATGTTCTGCCCCAAACAGAGCGTTACTGGGGCAGTGCCCTTCATTTAAAGTTAGGCATGAAACTATTCTCTCTTGGAGAGCTTTTTGGTTTGGCTTTATTACTTTCCAATGATGTTCGACAAGAATCCTAATAGCTTTTATCGTCGTGTTGTGTTGCTTTTAATATAGACGAAGCATACTTGATCGTCATTATCTTGCCCTTGAGTAGGGGGAGTTCTTAATTTAATCCTTTTAATGAGGGAAGGAGGTGTTGTCGGCTTCTCATCCATTTGATGAGGGAAAAAGCTGTATGTTTCTTGTCCTCTTAATGAGGGGGGCCTTTTTAATACGAGGCAAGTCGATTTTGATCCCTTTTAGTATGGGGAATGACAATTACGAGCTTCACTCAGGCTGAGCCCTTGTATTACGAGGCACTTCGTTATCATCCCTTATAGTACATGGACATTGATTATAAGGGATTCATTTAGTCCAAACCCTTATAGTACGGGGCACTTCATTATCATCCCTTATACTACGCGGACGCCGATTACGGGATTCATTCAGCCCTGACCCTTATAGTACGGGGCACTTTGATTTGACCCCTTTTAATACGTGGGACGACATTTACGAGCTTTACTCAGCTCTGGCCCTTATAGTACAGAGCATTTTAATAGGAGGGTCCCCCCTTTAGTAAAGAAGGTTCGTAGGAGTTACAGGCTCTACCAAGCTTTCCCCATTGATAAACTCCCTCAACTGGGAAATCTCTGCAATTTGGGCATTTATTGATAATACTGTCTCATAAAGTAGGGAATTTACCCTCGACTTTCTCCGATTTCAGCTGTTTCTGCAGATGAAAAGTGTGCAACACAATATCCACTGATGAGCTATGTTTAAACACAATATCCAATTTGTCACAAGATTTGACTCGGAGACTAGAGGTTCATTGGTGGCTAGGGTAAAGAGAAAAGCTTTACAAGCACTAGGACGCTCTCAAATACGAAGTTTTAAGGCTATTGTAGCAACTCCGAAACTATTTTACAAATCTTTATGAAAACTTTGCAAATCTCATTGCTTTAGTTTCATTCATACTTTGTTTATCTAAAACCCATTCTGATGAATATTGAGGTATGACAATAGGCAGTGATTAAAAATCTCCAACCAAATTTATCAAGAAATACCGAGTTGGTAATATTAGTTCCCCTAATTCTTTCCCCCAGTATTTTACTACCAAGAAATGCGCGAGAAACATTAGAATTATTTTTATCCATTTATGTTCACTCATTGCCATTCCTGAAAGGTCGGTACTACATCATCGATAAATCCAGACACCAATTAACAAAAAAATATATATATATATATATATATATATATCTATAGGCATTCATTGTAAGTCTTATGGACAATGCATAACTAAAAATTGCATATTAATGGCACAACACCAATTGCTGCAACTTGAAATCAGTAATTTCAGTTTTACAATGACCTTCAATGTCATAGATACAACATTTTAAAAATAACTCGAGTACTTGGTCATTGTGTGATAGATGACTTCTTATGAACTGAAATCTGATGTGAAATGCTAAAGGTGAGAATTGTTCAACATCTCAAGGAAATTTGCCTCAAGGATCTAGCATGAGACACCGTGACAAAGGTTAAAAAAATTTTCCAGTCTTCTTCTCGTAGTATCCTAATAGATAGATATGACACATACTAAGTAAAGAAGTTTCTGATTCTCTGTTCACCTAATTTCTTCATCCCATGTTATTATCTCTGATAAGTAAAAGAAACTTTGTCATTCACGCTACAGGGGTCTCTGAAGATAAGTTCTTTTCTATAAAAGTATCAGTCCCCATTTTTATTTTGGGTGTCAACTGGATGAAGGCATAAATCAAATTTCTCGACACCCTTGTTTCCCACAAAGAAGGATTCTCTTACGGGTATGAGATATTTTTCATAATTTGAGAGCGTTTCAACTGGCAAAATAGAGATGCTCCACTGATACCAATTTGGCTCTTCTAGTGGGGCCTTTACATTTTCACTCTCAGTTATTAAATAATTTTCATGTTTGGCAAATCAGGGTGCTCAAGGCGAGTTAATTTGGAGATCCCATGGAGAAGTTCTTTTTCAGTGGCTTCCAACAGATCATGAATCTCCAGATGCAGAAAATCTTTTAAACAAAAGCAATTCGTAAGCATGAGAAACCGGAGGTTACACATTAAAATTGTTAAATGATGGTGGAGACTTAACTGATGTTCCAAAAAATCCATAACTTCAAGCTTTGTAAGTTCTTTCAAATGTGGCATCATCTTTAAGTGTGGGCAACCTCTTAGAGAATGTTGACGAAGGTTTTTGAGATTTCCCAAGGATGGTAACTGTTTAAGCTGGGTTTCCATGAAATTAGCTCCAGATTCTTTCAAATAGTTGATATAATATAGTTTAACTCCTCAAGTTTTGAAAGCTATCCAATCTGTGGAATTACCTTCCCATTAGTGCTTTTTTATTTTTATTTTTTTTCCCGAGAGTAAGAGGTGACGAAGGTTGCAACCATTTGAAAGGGATGGTATATTGAATCTTTGTTCCAGAAAGGTCAAGTTTCTGGAGGCAAGACAATTGCTCAAAGGATTTGTACTCTATTGTTGTCAAAGCACTCTATTGTTGTCGAAGCACTACATCCAAAAAGATTAAATTGACAAGGTTATAAAGATTGACAATGGTTGGTAATGCTTTTATGTTGGTTTCCAAAAGGTCAAGGATTTGAAGGGAGCTTAGATGTTCAAAGAATTTGTCTGTGATTTTGACCGTATCTCGATGTCTTTATCAAGTGATTCAGTGCCAAATAGGATTTTTAGCTGAGAGCATTGTTTTAAAAAGGGATGTCGAAGATTGCTAGTGTTGGAAGGGACATGCTTAACACCACTTTCTGTGTTCTGATAAATTAAGGATATGAAGACCAGCATTTCTTTCTAATGAATTCTCATGGAAGGAATTCATTGAAATCTTCAGTTACTAACAAATCAAGATTTTAGTCAGTGACTAAATTCCGGATAGTCTATCCAAGGCTTTGCAGCCACTTACTGAGAGATCCGTGAGATTTTCAAGACTGAGAAGTTTTGGTAAGCTTTTAATCCGGGTTTGGGAAAGATCAAATGCATGTTTGGATAATCATATGATTTGTTAATTTGGACAAACCATGCACGTATAAAATGTGACAAGAAAGATTTTAAATGCACCCTCCATCACAATTTATTTCTCAATGTTGAAGGCAATTAAAGGTACAAAAACCTTTGTTCAATTTTGGCATCAAAATCAGTATTGTCAGAATTGCAAAACTGAATGTTTGTAAATTTTTAAACAAAAATCATGTACGACACTGAACAATCCCTTTTCCCAGATATTGGTGTGTGTGTGTTTAGATATATATATATATATATATATTCATACTTTTACCTAGGGTTTTGACATCACAAATCAAATACTATATATTTATAGAATTGGAAGAAAGATTAGTACCTGGGAATGAATTGCAATAATAGTTGGAACCAATTGGGCTCCAATTCGCATCGGGACGCGGCCAACATTAAGTGTATACGAGAGCAATAAAAGATAGGTACCTCAATTCGTCAAAGGTGATCGGATTCGTGAGTGTCAAATTCTTCGGTGAAGTGTTTGAGTTGCATCGACAGTCTCATCAGACATGTTTGCATATAGGAGTCTGGTACGACCCGTCCAGTGCTTTCTTTAATTCCATGTCACCACTCCTTAATTGTCCCGGACGTCTGATGAGTTCCAGATGTTGACCCCAACATTCAGACCAGATTATGTAAGTATAAGTTTCACATAGGTGCCAACTGTTATGCACAAATTTGTACGGGGTGTTTTCTGCAAGAAAAGAAAGAAGTGACGACGGCGTGGTGCCAATCGGGTGCACTCCAAGGTTAAGTTAGTATTTGACCATTAAATGTTCGAGAAAAGGTTAAATATGAAATTTATGTCGTAGCTTTCTAGGTTGACCAATGACTATTTTTATAATAGTTTTAATGGTGGTAGTGTTTTGTCATGAAACAAATTCATAATTGGAAGAGTCATGGGAGCATGGTAGTAGTTATCTTTACCTCTTTGACTTTATCCATACTCTTTGAGTTTCTATTTTGCTTAAACTTCCTATCCAGTCAAATATTCCTTATCAATAATAAAAGATTACTCACCCTTATTTGATTCACGAGAAGGATGATTTGGTGTTTTCTATTTCTAAATTACAATAAAACGGAAAATAAACTAAATTAAGAATAGTTTAGATCAAAGTTACAATAACTTAGGGATTGACTTCACTGCTAGCCTCATAACATGATCAATTGCTTTAACAATAAAGAAATTCACACTTATGTATATTCGAGAATCAAGTGGTTACAAACGCACTTTAAGTCAATTAAGAAGATATACTTGAATAAACACTAAGCCATAACTTATTTTCAGTTGGCAAAAATTACCTACCTAACTACTCTAATCTACCATCTAGTACAACTCTCTTCCCCAGGCATGAATTATCAAAACATTCATTCATAGCACCAGTATGATGAAGAGAAGCCCTTAGCCGCCAATCTCTCACAATAGAAGGGTTTGAATTCAATAAAAACAAGATTAGGAGAGGATTTTAATCCCTAAAGACGGGAAATAAACAGGCAATTGGTTACTTTGCTATTATCCCAATTGTGACAAATGCGCTCCTTTAAACATTAGAACAAGGTAAGCCCTCAAAAAAGTCATAACACAGATTTCTTCTCAGCAATCCTTTTTTTATTTTCATCCAAAGGGAATATGACTGTAGAACTTAAACCTGGTGTCGATCTTCAATCCAACTGCTTTAAAAGTTTATCTCGCGTCTTTCAGCAAAAAACTTTCCACTCACTGACTGGTCCGATAGCAGGGCAAGCCAGACTCCTGTATCAGCCCCTTCCTCAGGTGAAGTATGCCCTTCCCAGCCAGTCATTGCAGTCTTCACCCAGCCTGGGCAGTAGCAATTGATGTGTACCTTCTGACCTTCTGGTCGATCTGAAAGCATCTTGGCCATTAACCTGGTGTAAGCATTAACTGCAAGTTTTGACATTGAGTAGTCGGTATATGTTTGAGGCCACCCACCGGCTGTCCAACTGCCATCCTTAACTTGTTCCACAAACTTGTTCACAGTCCTATCAATTAGCTCCTCTGAGAGTGTGTCCACGTCTTCCAGTTGTTGTCTCAAAGTGATATCGCCAATTCTCTGTCAGAGTCAAAAACATTGATCATGTTTGTAAATCAAAGTATGATGGAAGCAAAAACTAGTAATAAAGACTCCTAAACTATTCTCATACAGCTTCCATCATTTCTCACCACAACAGTATAGTCCAATATGATATCTTGGTGGAGAGGGATTTGGTTAAATCTACATCCAATCCCTCTGGGGTGCACCGACTCCTTGAGAGAGAGAGAGAGAGAGAAGTTACACTTTCCATGAGCCAAGTTCCAAACCAGCATCAATTAACTATGTGGCAACGATGTACATTGTTTGCATTTTATATTCTTATTTAATAATACATGATGCCTCGTCTTGAACATGCACATAACAAGCGGTTTTGCCAATTGATAAAATAATATTGGGGCAACTGACTGCCCCCTCAGAGCCACGCGCAGAGGAGAGCAATTGACATAACCCTCTTTGGACATACGAGAGCAATTGACATAACCCTCTTCGGGCATACGATACAGTCGGAACATACAGAGAAACAGTTTTACGTGCCTGCCTTGGCGGATTAGAAATGCTACCCAACCCAAAAAGATCCCTCCACCTCCTCTCTCTATTATATCAAATATTGGGAAACAGAAAAAAGAACCAAGGATAGAACAAGGCACCATAAAACCTTTTTTACTTACATTTCGCCTTCCATTAAGTCTTCCCAATCTTGAACTCACATTAACAATACGAGCACCTGAAGCAGAAGGCCTCACTAATGGAATCATAGCTTTAATCATATTTTTGGTCCCAAAATAGTTGGTGACAATAACCTGTTCAGCAAATTCAACAGAATTCTCTGACCCTTGATTGAAATTGATACCTGCATTATTTACCTGTACCAGTTTGTAAAAGATCAATTATGCAATGGCGAATATTATCTTATGTAGCCATGTATGTTAGATAGCACTATATAACCTTACTACTCAACAAAGGATTATCACCATGCATTAATTTATTAAAACAAATTCTAGAGCATTTTTCATACAGCAAAGGTTTTTCAACAATACAGTACCCAAATCTATTCTAGCATATTAACTGTTGACAAATCTAAGTTTCTATGTATTTAATAAAGCATAAGGAAAAAGAAATCAGAAAATGAAATATAGAAAAAGACTGAAGAAATCAGTAACATAAGCTTATTATATATTACATCCGAAATCAAATCAACTTACATGGTGACAAAACAATAAATGGTAGAAATGCAGATTTTGACGTCTCACCAGAATATCTATACCACCATAGTTTTGTTGTACCCAATCAGCAAACAATTTGACTGATGAAAGGTCCACAACATCCAGTTGATGGAATACCACATTCAAACCTCCTTCCTGTAAGACCTTTGTTGCTTCTTCACCAACAGCATTGTCTCTTGATGTCAAAATGACTGTCAACCCCTGCAAGGCAAGTTGGTGAGCAATCTCAAATCCAATTCCTCTGTTCGCACCAGTCACGACAGCAGTAGTATCTGAGGACCACCACCTAGAAACTCAAAATTGTATGATAGGTTATGTTTCTATAACAATGATTCAGAGTAGAAGTCACTAAAAGTGATCAATAATTTTATCTGTTATTATATCATATGAAGGATCAAAATTTTGACTAAATGGAGTTCGAGACAAACATTTTTATAAGAAAGGCAATGAGGAATATGAGAAAAAATGTAAATTGATTCCTTGGATGGCATAAACCACCCCATATACCATAACATGCAAAGTGATTCTAAATGGACAGTCTGAGAAGGAAAGTCGATTGAGGTCAATTAAGGTGGTGTTTGGGGGCTTTTCAGAGTCCCAAAACTTGCTTCAAAGCTCAAGAAGTCTTTCCCCAGGAAAAAGTGAATGTGAGGTGATTTTTTTTCTAAACCGACTTTGAAAGAAGCCCATGCCTTTCTAAGCCAGATCCATGAAAGCTGTGAAAACATGCTTTTCTGAGTGAGTTCCCGGATGTGGAGCACATCTTAAAATAAGAAAAAGATCTATAAATTAAACCCCATAAATTATTTTATGATGTCTATAATAGCCTTTTACCTTCATTTAAAACTTATCTCACGACTTTCTCTATCAGAGCTTGTTGTATTGGGTTCCTCTCTCTCTCTCTCAACTACCAGCCACTAAAACTCCAATACATCAATACCTAAAAATCTCACGGCCTCCATCACTACAATACTGTCAAATGCCTGACATCCACAGAAATCATTTGGCGTCAATCCTGCAATGAGTACTTGGTTGAGGTTGAACGAAAAAGAAATCAAACAGCTACCAACAGATATGCCAACCACTTTTCAATTCTAATGATAATGCCAAAACTATTGCAAGAGCACCGACAATGATTCTGAAAGTGTTATCGAAAGGACACTGTAAAATTAAGAATCAAAGGAACATTAATCAATATGAGATGATAGCAATTACAATTGCTCTCTCTTGTTCAAATACAAACTTATCAAGAGGAAGTGGTTGAAAATCACCTTTGTGCAAAAGTGGTAGTAAGTGATGCTTGAGGGCCTTGGTGCTTTCATTAAGGTTTTATCTAATTTTAATTTGGGGATGTGCCTGTTACTCGTGTTTTGCGTGTTTTAGTGTATATTTGTAGAGAGAGATGGGAAGGGTTTAAACAGAGACACAGAGAGAGGCAGCTTAATGTGTTTGTGTGCTGCTGACATGGTTTGCTTTGAATTTGGAAAGAGCTGGTTGCCCATTAGTTTGATAGCCATCATGGTTTGGAAATGATTTTTGAGGGAAATTCGAAGGGGCATGTTGAATATTTTATTTGAAATTCTTCCACATTATGATTTGGTTTACACTCATGATTGGAATTCTTGCTGACTATGATTACCAGACTACATGAACATCGTTGAGACACAAGCCATTGTAATTGATAATTGGGTTGAGTGCACAAAACACCATGTAGTATAGAGTTTGTGCACGATGACCCCCTACTTTTTATTTGTGCATGTCAGATTCTACCATTGCAAAAAAAGGTAACAAACACCCCCTTCAAACCATTTTTCAGTGAAATGTGATATAAAGTATTTATTTATTCTGCTTTTGCCCTTTTAACATGCCTAAAATGCCACTCTTGCAATTATTATATTAATTTCCAAATTTAACCTCTCTCATAAAATATATATCTATATATATATATAGCAGTCAACCCTTCTCTCCTCGCTTTCTATGTTACTCTCTCTCTCTCTCTCTATCAATTTTCATCCTATCTCAAGCTTGTTCCCTCGCTCTCATAAGCAAACGTACCATCATCTTCAATGTGGGCATATCTTAAACTTCAGCTCCAAGAACCATCATATCTTCTCCTTTACCCAGACATGTGGAGTACTGAGCTAAAGCTTCCCAAGGGCTCGATATTTCTCAAGACCAAACACTAATTGAATCATGGAAATCACTGAAAGGAAGGGAAATGGTAGAGAAAACACCAAAAAAGAGGGGGGAGGGGGGAATCTAATCCAAACTGAATGATAGAGGTGGCAAAGCTTAAAACGGGCAGAGAATGTATCACAAAACCGTCAAATAAGTTATCTTCTTATTGCTTAAATAAAGATAATGCAGGCAAAATCATATCATTGACAAAATAACATAACCTGGTTTACATTGAACTGTGATGACATGGATTCATATTCACTTTCGGTAGAAAGGGTGCCACTAGATAAAGCCAAAAGGACATTCCTTTCCAATTTCAAGCAAGCAAATGTTGGATGTTTGAAGGATAGTACCAGTCACTTAACAATGGCTCCAGAAAAAATTAGGTAGAAGGTTCGCCACCCAATATGTAGGTCTCTATTAAGGATCCAACAGTACTCATTTAGGGCATTTTTCACAACCGTTGATCTATATGAAAGCAAGATGATGAAGAGAAAACTAGAGAGAGGGAACAAAAATGCCCATTGTAAACCAAAATCCAATGATATTTACAGATATATAATTGTTGAATGCCCATTGTTTTAGTCATATGATGGTTGAATTATTTCTCTTGAGACAATTCAGCTAAAAGTTTGAATTCAACCAAAGCAAAAGCTAGAACTGAAGATGATGGCATGTTTGCATGCTTTAGTCATATGATGGCATGAAGAAGATGATGGTTTAGGGAACAAGTATATTTGCCAAATAGAACAATTATAGCGTATTGTGTATCTTCTCTCCCAAACTACGTCACATGGAACAATGTCCAAATTTGTCATCTCCCATTTGGATATTTTTTAAAAATAATGTAAGATAAATTGTTATAAGGGTATTTAAGTCTTTGTATGAGGTTAATCTGTTAGGAGGTCCTTATTTGAACACTTATAAGCTTGAGGGGGGTTTAGGGAACATCAGGGGGTTATATGCACTATATCAATACTAGAGGAGCGTTTTGTGCACTTAATCCTTGATGATTTAGTTCACTTTCACACAAAAAAGAAAGAAAAAAAAAAAAGTTCAAAATCTTTGTAACGGTTGAAAAGTGAATTGAACTCATTCAAACTTTCTTTGTTGATCAAATTTGATAATTTGATACATATTCTTTTGTGTGTCATGTGTATGTTGCCAAAGTGTCAAACAGAAACTGCTAAAAATTAGAAAACCAAAAAATATATTTTATGTTTACACAAAAGAAAGAAAAAAAAAAAAGTTCAAAATCTTTCTAACGGTTGAAAAGTGAATTGAACTCATTCAAACTTTCTTTGTTGATCAAATTTGATAATTTGATTCATATTCTTTTGTGTCATGTGTATGTTGCCAAAGTGTCAAACAGAAACTGCTAAAAATTAGAAAACCAAAAAATATATTTTATGTTTATATAGTGAATTCCATCTTTTGTTTATTTTTCCTATTTAAACACTCTTTATCTTTTGTCAATTCTGTAACAAAAAAGAAGAGTTTTGGTAGTAGAAAATATTCCTTCTTATATTAAGAGGGAGACTTGAGTAACAGGGAAAGATGAGACATGTTTGAGACGTAATGAACTACAAAAGATTTATTGTTTATGCTTGATGCTTTATATATCATGGTTTTTAATTTCCTCGGACAGATTTATGCTTGGGCATATGTGTTCTGTAGTTTTGTAGATTTTTACAAAGTATAATCCGAAGTGATCAAGATTAAAGTGATTGAGCAGATTTTGAATAGTTATATTTCTTTATATGTACATGTCAAGATAATTGTGTTTTTCGGTTAAGTTTAAGTTTTGAAGTTCTGTTTCGGAATTTCCAAAGGAGGAGAATGTTACGTATATGAGTCAAGTGTTGGAAAATTCCTATTCAAACCTTGTGTTGTAATGTGACAGAGTTTTGGGTCCTTCAAGGACAACAGTTGAAGACATGACAGAGACAAAATTGCAAAGAACACGGCATGAATTGGCATCCTCCCTTACATAACTAGGGCACGGGTAAATTGACCTTAGAAAGACCTCATTTGACCGAGTTTAATCTTGGTTAGGCTCATAAAATTGTTTATTAGCGTTTTAGCAAAAAGGGAATTTTAAGAATTCTTCAAAACTGGATTTTGAACTGGAAAACAGTATTGATAGAATGGTTGATTGATCGAGTTTTTAACTGAAATTTTCTTTCAGATCTAGTAAGCCTCGAAGGCTCGATCGATCGAACATGACAGACATATAGTTTTGTCAACTTTCTCAAAACAACCACGATTCTAATTACTAAAACATATGGGACACTATATTGGTTATAAATATAAGATTATAGTCAAGGGATGAGATGAATGCCTCTAAACATCTAAAGAGAGAAAATTCTTGTGAGAGGAGAATTCTTAAATCACTCAATCTAGGTTTCTTTGGTTTCCATCATACGTAATTGACTTTTCATCAAGGAGGAGTTCAAGAAACCGATCCAATTCAACTGTTAAAGCTGAAAGGGCGAGCAGTCGCTGGAGGCAAAGTCGTGAAGAGTCAAGTCTATAGATGAGCGGACGAATGGCCTGCATTCCTTGGGAGGAAATTTTTGCATCGTTTGTCTATATAACTAGGGGTTCTAAGGTACGGAAACTATTTCTCTTTCTCATATATTGGATTATACCTGACTGGATTTAGTCCTTGGTTTTCCTCAATTGAGTTTTCCATGTAAAAAATTGTGTGTCTCTACAATACTTTACTTCCTCTTGTTGCTTGATTGTCAGTATGATTGATGAAAATTGAAAATTAACAAGAAATTAAATATCAAAATTTACCATAAACTAACTAAAAATTTCAAAAAGAATCAACGGAAATTTGAAATGATAGTTACTTAGTTAAAAGCAAAATAATATGCATAAGACCTCTCGGCCAAATCACCGCTTGACAAATCAAAGCCTAGGTTCTGGTCCTACGGTTTTTTCTCAATTAGTATTTGATCAATGATCATATTAATAGAACTATCCATTTGCCTAATCATGTAAAAAGATTATCTAATAATAAGCATTACAAATTCAAAAAGAAAAAATCAAATTCAACAGTGAAAACCTAATCTAGGGGCGTATATGCTTCTTATCAGATAAAATAAGAAGCATTTTCAATGAACACTAAAATTTTCTAAATTTAAAGATAGTCATCACATAGATCATACCGAATAACCGTGGAATTGAATTACTATTGAGATGAACAGTCAGATTGGGCAGAAAATGTAGCAAGAACCAGCAAAAATAAATTGAAATCAATTTTAGGGTTTTTTTTTTTTTTTTTTTTTCCCCCCCCATTTACCCATACAATTTAGATAATTGCACATATGAAAAAGGAAAAAGAAAGTTACTTCTGATGATCTGAGTAAGGAATGGTGCGAAGAAGAGAAATCTCTTCACGTCTCTTCTCTCTTCGCTCCTTCGACCTCTCTTTCTTGTTCATCTTCCTCTGAAGAACTCTCTCTCTCTCACACACACATAAACTTTGACTCACAGTTGCTGCAATCACTTCCTGCAATCAGAGTAACGGAATCAGGGTTCTTCCCGCTATATTTGAAGCCTTTTATATTTCGATTTCTCCCACTGAATTATTTATTATTACAGTATTATCTTTTTGGGTAAGCATATATTTTTGGTCAAACATAAATTAGCACATAATATTATTTCACCACAAGAGGACCATGTTCATATTTATGAAAATATTTGCACTTCATTACTCTAACTTTCTATAGTTACAAAAGCCTCCAATAAGTTTCAGTTATTAAAAATAATAATAATTAAGTGGAAGAAAGAAAAATAAGTTTTAATTTTTTTTATTTAACTTTTTTATTTTATCACTACAAGTCCTACTTTTCTTCTCTATAAAAAATAAATAAATTTTTAAAAACTTTCAATAGGACCAATGGGTCCTACTTTTGAAATCCTTTTTCATTTAAATTCTAAACTACTAATCTTCCATTTATACACTTGGCAATTTTTTTTTGGTCATTTAAATTCCAAACCTCTAAATCTTCTATTTATACCCTTATCAAAAAGAAGCAAAAAGTTTGCAATTATAATTTCTATTCTAAAATCGATATGCTAGGAAGCACATATACCAAACATAAAATGATTTGGAGATTGTGTAATGCTTAATCTCAAGCTCTTTATTTACATGGCAGTGATATTCTTTGTTTCTTTTTCATATCATGATTCCCCATCCCCAGAGGGAAAGAGAAATGTCCTTCCTTTTTGGTCCGGTTGTGGGTGAGGAGGGATTCGAACCCCGACACGGTGGGTTAAGAATATGTGAAAGCACTTTTCTTTTTATAAGAACGGTGCGTCCCGAGGTGTGAAGTGGGAGAGAAGGAATGTCATAATTGGGGTTTCGAATAAGTAGATACAACAAATAATGATGAATAAAAATCATTAATTTGGAGCTTAGAACTATGTTTTTTTTTTTTTTTTTATCTTAAATTTTTTATAATTTTTCTAGTTAACCCATAATATATTTCAAATTACATTAAATCCCATTCTTCCAAAAAGAAAAAAAAAAAAAATATATATATATATATATATATATATATATATATATATCATAATAACAAACTCACTCGTTATATTCTAAAAGTGTCAAGAACATATCCTTGTCGTATCCATGCCGCAATCGTGTCTAGCAAAAAAATAAAATATTCAATTTTTAGGATACTTCTAGTTGTGGTGCTAGGGGGTGCGCCACCAGACATATATGGAGAATACTCGCTTTTACCTATAACGCTAGTCTCCTCTTTTTCTACAGTATTGCTTGGATGGTATGACTTCTCCGGTGATGGACGACACTCTAAATTATTGTTTGAATAACGAGAATTTCCCATTTGTTGTTCTTTGTAAGTTTGATATGTATCCGAGCTGTGTTTACGTATCCGAAAAGTATTCGAGTGTCAGATACAGCTATAGCATCCTAAGAGAAGTACATCCATTCTTCCTGGTCGATATGTAATCCTTTTTTTTTTTTTTTCTTTTTTTAACTTTTAGTTAATTAATAAATATTTTATTATGAATTTATATTATAATTATTTTGATTAAATTCAATTCCAAAAATCTTTTTCTAGATTTTGTTATAATTATTTATGTTTTACAAAAACTTATCAAAAAAAAAAAAATTTATGTTTTACAAAAAAAATAAAATTATATTAAAATTGATAAATTATTATAATTTATTTTCATTCAAACAATTTGAATATAAGCCAATTGCTAATAAAATTTTAGACAAGTATAGTCAAATAAACAAATTTGGATTACAGGTCGATTTTTGGATATAAATTACATTAAAAAAATTTGATAACGGTTTATATTTAAGTGGAAACGAATTTTAAAAGTATGACTTATTAGACATCTTAGAATTTACGAGAAAAAGTGAGACATAGATGGCTTACCTTTGCTCACACCTCTATAGAAAAGATGTTTGCGGAAAAGGTTGATGGATGAATGTGCCTACCAAAAAACAAATCAAGGCTTACGTGCTAACAAGTTGAAATATACTTACTTCTAAAAACAAAAAACAAAAAAATAAAGTACAGACCTCCCCTATGGTTTGGGTTATTACTCGAACCTCCCCTAAAAATGAAACTAACCTACATGAACATCCCTTCTATAATAGTCAACGCGAGTCAATGACGGATTTTGTTGATGTCATGTACTTAATAAATTAAAATTCTCATATTACCCTTCATCCATCTCTTCTCTTTCACTCTCCCCACTCACTTTCTCTCTATATATTATAGAGCTCAAACATGAAAGGGTTGTCATCCAAGTAACATAAGAAATTTTGTTGTCAGAAAACTTCAGATTGAATCATACAAATGTTTTACTCTTACCAATGTCACCTCTCGAGCTTTTTGTAAACCATAAATAAGATATAATAAATCAAACTAAACCCCAATATATAGATGCTACAATGAAATGCTAAGAACTCTGCAGTTACTAGATTTTTTTAGAAGATTTAAATTTTTTTTTTTTTTTTTTTTTTTTTGTTTAGATTTTTTAGAGAGTAAAACAGAGCACCCATTTTCATTTTTTTACCTCCACAAAAACCTATCCACAAACAATAAATTATGAACTCAGGCTAAAAAAAGACATAAAAATAATAAATTATGATCAGGAAACTCACATGGCTTACAAAATGTTTGTGCGTGGAATCAGAGACTTCCTTCACACCATTCTTCAGACCTTCTGGGTGTAAAACCAAAGCAAGTCTACAAAAGTACCAAGTTGCACAATAAATTCTCCCATACTTAAAATCAAAGTCGTCTTCTTCTTAAAAAGAAAAACTGGGCACCCATCTTCATTTATTACACCACAAAAACCTGTAAAAAAAAATTAAATTTATATATATTGCTATACTCACATTACAACTCCAAACAACAAAATACTGTATCAAGAGAAAAAAAACTCATGTTGCTGTCACAAAAGGATGATCAATGCATTAGGTGATGAAGAGCATTTTCAACCACATCACATTCATAGTAAAGTTGAGAAGGAAGATTACCATGATTCCTCAATTGATTTTTTTTCTTCATATGTGGCAATTTGTAGTTGTTTGCCCATACACCTTCATATACACCTTCATTGTTTCAATCTTGGAGCCCTGCAACGTTAAGAAAACATTATCAAGAGTTTCCATCAATAATTCATTGAAAGATTTTTCTACTGCATCCACCAACTCATCAACGGTAGTGGAGCTCGTTGGTATCGAAGCGATTGGATTGCTCTAAAGTATCCAAGATCAAGAACATTCAAATTTGGACTATTAGGAGGTCAGAATGTTAACCGTATATCAAACCCATATTTATTCATAGCTTCTAGGAATTCTACATCCAATGAATCAATGTGTGGTTTTGCATTATCTTGTTGAATATTAATGGTTTCCATATACCCCCACAAGGCCATTTAGCTCGAATCGCTGGTAGAACTTTCTCAAATAAAATACAATCGAATTATATCTTTAGTTATCAACAACATCGGTTTTGTCTCTTATGTACCAACCATGAGATTTTTGCTACTTTGTTTGACAGGATTTTTACAAATAAATGGATAAATTCCAATCTTTTCGGAGAAAACTTCATGGTGAGAAGTATCAAATTGTGGCCTAACAACTGCGGCGAGAAACATAACCTTTGTAATGAACCTTTTACTTTTGCAAGTACGTACGCGTTCATTTTCTTCAGGAATGAGATAATATTTCTCGAACTCTTCAGAGATATAGAATCATTTTTCATTAATGTGAACATAATTAATCATATTGCAGAAAGTTGGCCTGTCATGAAGACTACACTGCTCAAGCATTGACAAACAAAATAACAACCTTGCTTTCTTATTCTCTTCAGTTAAATATGGCTTCAAGGCATTTGAATGTGGTCTAATAAAGCCATCTTTAATTCTTCTATATAATATAGATTTAGCAACTTGCATAACAAATGATAAAGATCGAATGTTTGTACGTTGTCGGAGAGGAATTTCTGATACCTTATTGAGAATGTTTGTACGTTGTCGGAGAGGAATTTCTGATACCTTACTGAGATCAACTTGCACCCGTTTACGACCAACTCTATTCCGCTTTTTGCTGGAAACATCAATTGCTAAACTATTTGAAGATTTTCCATAACCTACTGCCAAATTCGACTAATAGTTCTGGCACAAACAAAAAACATGTTGGCTATGGCATTTATGGTTTGCCTTTTCAATTTTTCGTTTTCACTTTGCATCAATAGAATTATAGCAATTTCTTGACGTTCTTGGTTCGTTAGTTCCTTTTTTAATTTCTGCTGAACAGAGTTGTTCTCTATTCGAGTTTCCATTTTAAATAGAAACCTGAGAACAAATAAAGTTAAAGAAAGAAAGAAAGAAAACGTAGGTGTTAAATGAAAGAAAATTTTATAAAGATAAGAATGAGAAAGATCGAGAGTTAAAAAAGGAGATGAACTCATGATGCGACTTTGGTGTATACCACAAAAATGTGTAATATTTGAAATGTCAAATGGGCATCAACTTTTACATTTGTAAAAGCTACTTAACACATATACATTAGTATAGTGAGAAAGGATTGTCCACAGGGATATGCGGCTTGGAATCTAACTTGACTTAGTGAATGTGAGATTGAAAGGAAGTTTGTTTGGTTGTTTAAACTAATGTTGAATTCAATGAAACATGCAATTGAAGTTAACACTAAAGTAAATAAGGTTTAAGTGATAGGAAGAGAGACTTAGGGCATAAGATTCACCACTAAGCTCATGCACTAAACCACTAGCCTTCAATTAATGGGGAGAACATATTATAATAAAAATGTGGCTACAATCACACATCTAAATCAAGAGGATAATACAAATTGCAATAATAAGCATGAATTGTTTACCTAACTACAATTAATTTAATGGTGTAGTGCAACTTATCAAGACTAAGTATAATTCATCAAACTAATTAACAATTGTACCCAATAAGAACCATGGCCATCATTAAACACAATTACAAAATGCATTTAGTATAGAGATTAATCCTCAATTAATTACACATAAGACAACATGCAACCAACATAGAGAATTAATAGGAAGAATTATCAATAAAAACCCTTAGTACAACTAAGGTTGAGTTCCCAAG